CTCTAGCCAAATTTAAGGGCTATATGGCGCCGGAGTCTACAAAATATACCAATCTGTCAAAATAAAAAAAATACCATGTAGAAAAAGAAATATGGAGCGGATAGCGGCAATCAAACCTGCTATAAGCTTAGAAAATTAGGGGCCTGACTTTTAAATTAGGGGTCTGACTTTTGCCTTTGTATATCTAATGTTTGGTCCTTGTGGGTTACTCTTTTGGCCATGTACTTATGCTTCTAAATTGAATTGCATTGAAATTTTCTATGGACTGTTCCTTATATTTTTATATGTATACTCCATTTTTTTATGAATATGAGCATACGAATAGCTTATGCTAATGACCAATAGTATATGGCCTATTGAACTGAACATGATATTACCCAATAAATTCCCCTATAATGTTTTAGAATAATATGTGAGATGAAAAGTAGATTGCTTGTATTTCAAATTCAAAATTACATAATTCGAGCCAGAGCTTTTTTCCTTAGAGCTTGAAATATAAAACAAATTCAAAAGAAGATGTGTATAACATTTATTTTAAATTTTGAAATTAAAAATTAAATACTTTAACCACCAACCCCTCCTGTATAATATCCCTCTTTATTTATAATATTCTAACATAGAAAAAGGGGGGGAAAAGGTTTGACGAATAAGCAGGTGGATAGTTTTTATTTCAAATTTTCAAATTCAAAATTAAATAGGTTAACCATCAGCCCCTTCTATGTAATATGCTCGTTCCAACACAGGTAGCCCGATCTCTTTAGTTTGTATATAAAATTTTCTTGGTAGCTGTGGTTTTTTCTTTAGTTATGCCTCGAATAACCCTTTAAATTCCACCTTAATGTTGTGAGCATAATATTTAAGATGAAAAGTAGATGTTCGAATTTGTAACACAATATTAGATAGCACACGCAAGAGTTTTTTCTTACATGGCTTGAAACTCAAAAGGAAGTTCAAAATAAGCGTTTGTATGACCTTTATTTTAAAATTTTAAACTCAAACCTAGATGGCTTAACAATCAATCTATCATTTATTATATCCCTTTTTTATACCATTCAAAGATTAAAAAGAAAAGAAAAAATAACAAGTAGGCTCAATGAATAAGGGCGTGGATATTTTTATTAAGATAAATTTTTGAAAACAACCATATTTCATAATTAATGAATAAAATTGATCTTTTCACAAAAAATAGCAAAATCGACCATTTTCATCTCAGTTAAGATGAAAAGGATCAATTTTGCTGCCAGCAAGTTTTCGAACTACACGGGACTACTAGTCCCGTATAGTTAAGGCATGCTAATCTAATATTAGCATGCTAATAGACGGGAGTAGTAGTCTCGTCCATTTGGTAATCACACCCACTATCCTTAAACAGATCGTGTTGCCCCCTCCCCTTAATTCCCGCGACCAAAAACCCTAAAATCCCTCCTCCAAT